CCTGCAGTGCAGAACAGGTCCAATCCCTGGGTTGGAAAGATCCCTTAGAGAAGGAAATGGCAACCCTCTCCAGTATTCTTGCCTAGAAAATCCTATGGACAGAGGAGTCTGGCAGGCTACAGTCCATGTGGTTCCGATAGTTGCACATCACTTAGCGACTAAACCACCACAAAGTGGAAGCAGTGACAGATTTTATTTTCTTGGGCTCCAAAATCACTGCTGATGGCAACTGCAACCATGAAATTTAAAGAAACTTGCTCTTTGGAAAGAAAGCTATGACAAGCCTAGACAGCATATTAAAAAGCAGAGACAAGACAACCTCTTTAACAAGTGGTGCTGGGAAAACTGGTCAACCACCTGTAAAATAATGAAACTAGAACACTTTCTAACACCATACACAAAAATAAACTCAAAATGGATTAAAGATCTAAATGTAAGACCAGAAACTATAAAACTCCTAGAGGAGAACATAGGCAAAACACTCTCCGACATAAATCACAGCAGGATCCTCTATGACCCACATCCCAGAATTTTAGAAATAAAAGCAAAAATAAACAAATGGGACCTAATGAAACTTAAAAGCTTTTGCACAACAAAGGAAACTATAAGCAAGGTGAAAAGACAGCCCTCAGATTGGGAGAAAATAATAGCAAACGAAGCAACAGACAAAGGATTAATCTCAAAAATATACAAGCAACTCCTCCAGCTCAACTCCAGAAAAATAAATGACCCAATCAAAAAATGGGCCAAAGAACTCAACAGACATTTCTCCAAGGAAGACATACAGATGGCTAACAAACACATGAAAAGATGCTCAACATCACTCATTATCAGAGAAATGCAAATCAAAACCACAATGAGGTACCATTACACGCCAGTCAGGATGGCTGCTATCCAAAAGTCTACAAGCAATAAATGCTGGAGAGGGTGTGGAGAAAAGGGAACCCTCTTACACTGTTGGTGGGAATGCAAATTAGTACAGCCACTATGGAAAACAGTGTGGAGATTTCTTAAAAAGCTGGAAATAGAACTGCCATATGACCCAGCAATCCCACTTCTGGGCATACACACCAAGGAAACCAGATCTGAAAGAGACACGTGCACCCCAATGTTCATCGCAGCACTGTTTATAATAGCCAGGACATGGAAGCAACCTAGATGCCCATCAGCAGACGAATGGATGAGGAAGCTGTGGTACATATACACCATGGAATATTACTCAGCCATTAAAAAGAATTCATTTGAATCAGTTCTAATGAGATGGATTAAACTGGAGCCCATTATACAGAGTAAAGTAAGCCAGAAAGATAAACACCAATGCAGTATACTAATGCATATATATGGAATTTTAAAAGATGGTAACGATAACCCTATATGCAAAACAGAAAAAGAGACACAGATATAAAGAACAGACTTTTAGACTCTGTGGGAGAAGGTGAGGGTGGGATGTTCAGAGAGAACAGCTTTGAAGCAAGTATACTATCAAGGGTGAAACAGATCTCCAGCCCAGGTTGGATGCATGAGACAAGTGCTCAGGCTTGGTGCACTGGGAAGACTCAGGGGGATGGAGTGGGGAGGGAGGCGGGAGGGGGGATCAGGATGGGGAACACATGTAAATCCATGGCTGATCCATATCAATGTATGGCAAAAACCACTACAATATTGTAAAGTAATTAGCCTCCAACGAATAAAAATAAATAGAAAAAAATAAAATAAAATAAAAAGTAGAGATCACTTTGCAATCAAAGGTCCATATAATCAAAGCTATGGTTTTTCCAGTAGTCATACACAGATGTGAGAGTTGGACCCTAAAGAAGGCTGAGCACCAAAAACTTGATGCTTTCAAACTGTGGTGCTGGAGAAGACTCTTGAGAGTCCCTTGGACTTCAAGGAGATCAAACTAGTCAATCTCAAAGGAAATCAACCCTGAAAACTCATTGGAAGGACTGATGCTGAAGCTCTAATACTTTGTTTGCCTAGTGCAAAGTGTCAACTCATTGGAAAAGACCCTGATGTTGGGAAAGATTGAGGGCAGGAGGAGAAGCGGGACACAAGAGATGGTTAGATAGCATCACCAACTCAATGGACATGAATTTGAGCAAACTCTAGGAGACAGTGAAGGATAGGGAAGCCTGGCATACTGCAGTCCATCAGTCGGAGAGTTTGACATGACTTAATGACTGAACACAATGCAGTGTTAAAATAATTTTAGAAGCATTTTATGCTATTTTCCTATGATTTTCACATATCACAGCAATGGTTTCTGAAGCATACATGATTCTGCACTAAAATGTTACTTTTCTGATGCCTTAAGAATGAATCATGTAGAAAGTTATATTAGTAATTTACATAGTGACTATCACAAACATTGTTGTACTTCAAGTGTATTGTAGACTATTGAGATTAGCTTCATACTAACAAAGTTGCTGAAAAATAAAATAGTTTATTCAAAAAAAAATAACAAAATGATATGCAAGTGAATGCTACCAAAAGAAGAGAAAATAGAGATAAACAACACAACTGAAATAATAAATACTAACAAGGGGAAATTGTTGTGAGTAAAAACTGCATACAAGTCAATAATAATCATACCACTTTATCACAAAATGTTTATTTCATAGTGCTGGGAATACAGCTTTACACAAAATACAAGGGCTCCACTTTGTAATAGTTACATAAATGGATACTGCTTATCAGGATCTAAACACAAGGAAGTTGTAGCTTGACTGAGAAGCCCTGCTGGTCCTCCTCCCATAATCTAGAGGTGTTTTAGGAGTCCACCATGGCCTCTCTGAAGAATACACGACTAGATCAAAGCTGGTGAATATACTTCAGATCACAAACAGTAGTTTTGAGACTGTTCAGCACCATCCCAACATCCTGGCTGATTTCATTTCATAGGAGATCTGTTTCTTCTTTAGTTTTTCTTTGGAAAACACCAGGGTATCTGAACAGCTCCAGTATAGATTACACCCAGTTTGTCTACAACAATCATTCAAAACTCTTTCATTCTCTTAGTTCAGTATATTTGATATGAGGAATGTTTAATGTCACTAGTATTCAAATAAGTGTTAGACTATCAGCTCCACCAGAGCAACAACTTTTGCCTGCTTTGGTTACTAGTTTATCCTTAATGCGTGGAGCATTCATGCATGCATGCTCAGTCAAGTCTAACTTTTTGCAACCCCATGGACAGTAGCCCACCAGTCTCCTCTGTCCATGAACTTCCCAGGAAAGAAGGTGGAGTGGGTTGCCATTTACTTCTCTAGGGAAGCTTCCCAATCCAGGGATCAAACCCACATCTCCTGTGTCTCCTGCATTGGCAGGCAGATTTTTTACCACTGAGTCACCTGGGAAGCCTAATGCCTGGAACAGAACCTGAAATACTATGAGTGCTAAAAGAATATCCAGTTTGCAAAGTTTCCCAAAGACAAATATTATTGTTTGAAGTGGATGGGAGATACCACCCCCACCTCCGCCCCAGCCACTGTAGAAGTGTTTGTCTTTTAGTAGGGGGAAGAAATCCTATCCTTCCCAGGTGAAATATATTATATTAAGAAAACAATCTCATTGAAGATGTTTTGAGTCTATGGCATTTGTGAATTAAATAAAGACTCAGCTGTAAATCAATACAATTTTATGGCTCTAAATCAGTGACTGAGAAATTATTATGTGGAATAGGAAACTCATAATTTAGGGACTGACCAGACCTTAATCTTCCAACTATCAATTGACCCAGATGACCAAAGGAAAATGATGTGACAAAGCAGTTTAAACAGAACTGGTCTTACTGTAGCAGCTTGTGTTAGCAGTTTTGAAATTCTGCTATCTTTCTCTTTTGACAGCAAAAGTCAAACTATTCTGAGAAATAGAAATTTTCAATTTACTCTGTACAAGCTGAATAAGCATTTTAGGGTCATGACCATCACTCTGAACCTTCCAAGACATGAAATACTTCTAAGAAAAAGAGGAATACAACACAATGCTGTTATTAATTCTTGTTTGTATCCTGGCAGTCCTACATCGATTCCTGTAAATACCACAACCTGGTCAGGACTTCATAGATAAAATGAAATCACAGTTAACAATTTTTTGTGAAGAAATGTAAGCAAAAGCAGATATTCTTTCCTTAATTATCTAGGACAATTTTTTGGCCAGTGGTATTTTACCAAAATATCCCCCATATGGGTGGCTTTAAGATGTATATTTTGTAAGTCAGAATAAGCTGTGTGAAACAGAACAATTATTCTGAATTTAGTTATTTAATTTTGTACATCCAGAATGGTTCACCTATATTATTGAAATTTATAAATCTAAGTGCAAATAATAAATGCTGAAGAAGGTGTAAAGAAAGGGGAATCCTCCTACACTGTTAGTGGCAATGTAAACTGGTAAAGCCACTATGGAGAACATTATGGAGACTCCTTCAAAATTTTTTTTTAAAAATCTAAGTGCAACTTTGATTCATAAGAAATTAATCAATCAACAGGTGTTTATATGATGAATTTACTGAAGAATAAAATGAAAATGGATCCTTACTTTATATTGATTAATATTTCATATTTGGATTTAACATAAATTATTCTTGGGCATATAAAAGATGGCCCATTTTCTAATTGTTAAATACTGATGGCTGTAATTCTAGAAGGAGGACAACCAACCACAGCCCATAATACGTGTAGAATTACTTCATACCCAGGTTCTTGAAATAATAAGAAACACTGGAAATGTAAAAGTGCTATGGCTAGCTACTTTTCACTTAATAATAGCTTTAAATTCAAATAGGTGGAATTAGTTGATTAAAATGCAATTAATATTCTTAAAAATCCTCTATTCTTTTCATAAACATAAGAATTCAGTCTTAAAAAAGTGTGAATAATCTGTTTTCAAATCTTATGAATGACAACTCTATTTCCTCCTCTGCATTCCATTAACTGAGAATGACGTAAAGATGGCCCTGCTATCGTCAAATCTTTCCTTTCTGTCATCTTCCTATTGGTGCAACATAAAAGGAAGATAAATCTCATGATGCAAGGCACTAACACCCTTTAATTAGTCTCTGGTTATTTACCTTGGGTGTTCCTTACAGTTGAAAGGCCAACTGAACCTACTGCCAAGCAAGAGCTGACGGTCACAAGGAAAGGTAATCACATTAAAACATCCAAAGAGAATAATTCTTCTTCATTGCAGTTTGTAATTATTATACCACCAAAGTTATTCTAGAAGAACGTTTTCTTCCTTTTGGCTTTTACTGTTAAGCTTGAATATCCTTTGTCATCATTCCGGTATTAGTTTCTAATCTAAACCTTAGATTCTGTATAATGTTATGATCAAATTTATTTTTAACTTCACTTTGGGTTAAAGTCAAGATTTGATACTTGCTAAAGTACTGAAGACAATGTAGATTCTTAAAAAAAAAAAAAAAAAGGTATGTTCAAGACAGTGAATCTATTCCTACAGACAAATGTGGAGGGCTAACTTTTTAGGAAGATGAAAGTACAGGATAATCCAGATTGATCCCTTAATTAATTCAAAATTTTATTTCTGTCTAAAGGTTATAGTTTCACTTGTCATAGTATACAACTTTAAAAAATAACAGGACTTATACATCCCTCATGAAAGCTGAATTTTTCTGGATTGCCAAGTTATGAAAGCAAATTCAAGTACTTACTGTTTTAAGTAACTGATAAGTAAAGAATGGTCTTATTTCTCTGGTTTCTGCCTATGCTAAAAAGGGAATAACTATTACTGTTTTGCAAGTTGTTTTTGTATGAGTGTCTGTGATATCATTTTGCATAAATTATAAAGGATTCCATGATTCACCATAGAAATATTGTTCAGAATACAATCTTAAAAGTCAGCCAATGATTATTGTACAATATTATTTCTATATTCACTATACTGTACTGTAATCATCAAGCTTGCTAAGAGACTAGATATTAATTATTCCAACCACTAAAAAGAAATGATAATTATGTGATATGACAGAGTTGCTAATTATCAATATAATAGCAATCATATTACAATACACAAATACATTAAATAAACATGTTAGACACATTAAGACATTGTTATATATTAAATCTATTTCAACTAAGAAAAATTTCACTGGCAAGTGAAGAATTCATAAGGAGCTCCATTCTATTCAATGAAATTTGAGGAAACAATCAATGCTGTAGGTTGCTCAAATTTGAACTCACATTAAGTTCTTTTCCATTCAGTAAAATTCCATCAGAGGTTCTGAAGTCAGTTTAGTAGAACAGCCTTTCTAATCTTTCTTACCTGGAAATCAAAAGTGAGTTGAGTCTGGTGTACACTCTTTATCAAGCCTGAACTACTGATTCTGTGACCCTAGTCTGTAAAATTCAGTTTGCAGGTTTCAAGTCTATACAAGTATGATGATAACAATGGCTGTAACAAGATGTAGTATTTAATTTATAAATGCAAAATTTATTTAAATATTTAAAAAATATAAAATGTTATGTGCATCTTTCTAAAAGAACAATTTAGCTTTCAAAATCAAATAAATAGGTATTACTACCCTATACTCCTTTAGAAAGATAAGGTTAATTTATTTCTTCAAATATTTCATCCAGAAAACTGTGTCATATCTTACATTTTTTTTTTCATTAAATTGATCAAGCTAATTATATAAATTATGATTACTGGAGAAGCAGATTATTAAGAATGCAGTTTCAGGATACTCCCCCCAATCTCTTTAAGTATTCCTATTAGATCAATCACAGAATTAAAGAATTTCAGAAATCTCAGTTCAAACTTTTATTTATAGGCAAGAAGAATACTAGGGCCAGATAAAGGGAAATACTTATTCAAAGTAGAGAATAGAGCCATAGGAATGTGTAGTCACCTCAGTTTCTAATCTGAAGCCACTCAACTGGTATTAGGAAAGCTATCTAATTCTTTAGCCTGGCATGTAACGCCTCATCTTTCTCTGCCCTTAACTTTCTTTCCAACTTTGTCTTCCCCTTCGCTCCACTCAAATGCCCATGGATATTCCTAAGGAGTTCTCTTCTCCTTGAAATTCCTCTCTATTAATCTCTGCATGAGCAAGTCCCACCTATATGCTATGTCCTACAGAAATAATTTATTGATTTCTTAACTGAGCACTTCTATCTGTAGAAAAGCACTTTTGTAACACTTTCTACTCTCTTTTCTCTAACAGTGATTTGGTACGTTGCAACTCTTCCTAAAATTTATGTTACTTGACCAATTCACCTCAACAATCTCAACCCTGACACACACAGCTTTGTTCCTACTAGGTTCCTGGTACATATGAAATGAATATAGGATTAACCTTGTAATGACACATTCAGTAACATAACCAAAAATTAAATTCATGTATTTCCTACAGTTCAGTTTTTCTAAAGCTTTTGATAAAATAGATTTTTCTCATTGGCTATATCTCCCCCTAAATCTGGCTTTTCCCTCCCTTAAACCAAAGAAAACATTGTTCCAAATCACTCCTAAATGATCAGCAACAGATCCTGTTAATTTAATGTTTTTAATTTAATTTTAGGTGCAATGATGAAGAGTTTTTCCCTAGTTGTGACTATCCTGGCATTAACCCTGCCGTTTTTGGTGAGTTAATTTCATCTAATCAGTTTGTATCAAAAATTCTTTTTAAATTTACTTAAGGGCTTTAATTGTAAGTTTCTAAATACAGTTATATTTTATAGAACAAAATAGCTGCACAAGTAATTTATTTTTACATTTATTTTTCTTATTAAAGTCATATTCTTCTGGATATTCTTCTGGTTTCTAGAAATAAAGAAATCACATTTTATCATCTAGAGAAAACATTTAAAATTCTCATATGATAGAGAAAATACATTTTGGGGGAAAAATCCTGAAAATATTTTTAAATTATAATATGCACTTAAAATAATTCACAAACATTCAGTAATGTTTTTAATTAAATTCCTATTTCATGCAAAGTCCAATTTGTTTAGGAACTAAATCCTTAAAATATTAGGAGCTTGTTTAAGCTTTTTTTACCAATTTCAAATAACTTGACATGTACTTTTAATGTTTAAATGTATTGTAACTTTTGTTATAGTATTTACATATGTCAATTCCCTCTCAGGGATTATATCCATAAACACCTCTTTGATTTTTAGGCAAACATCTGAAAGCATCAAATGTTTATTTTCCTGTTCTTACTGTTGGCAAATAAGTTCCTGGGATCCCCAAATGAACATGAAAATAAAACATACCAATAGCCAAAACAATGAGGAAAACTAGTCAAAAAAAAATTAAAAGAAAAAAATCCCAAACCTTTTTAATGTTACATGTAATTACACTACATTACAGCATGTAATTCAGGAAAATGCCTGAAAATCATAGAGTTATTTATGGATACAATCCCTGAGAGGGAGTTGACAGAATATGAAGATTATAACAAAATTTACAATATATTTGAATGTTAAGCATACATATCAAGTTATTTGAAATTGGTTTAAAAAAGAAAAGCTTAAACAAGATCCTAATATTTTAAGAATTTAGTCTCTAAACAGACTGGAGTTTGTGTGAGATAGGAATTTAATTAAAAACATTATACATTACCATGTGTAAAATTAGATAGCCAGTGAAAATTTGCTGTATGATGCAGGGAGCTCAAACCTAGGGCTCCGTGACAACCTAGAGGGGTAGGATGGGGTGGGAGGTGGGAAGGAGGTCCAAGAGGGGGGGACATAACATACCAAAGGCTGATGCATGTTACTGTATGGCAGAAACCAACACAATATTGTAAAGCAATTATCCTCCAATTAAAAATAAACAAATTTAAATTTTTAAATATCTGATGCTTTATGACCTCCTCTTGTTCTGATGGGTGGGGCCATGCTCAGTAAATCTTTAATCCAATTTCCTGTTGATGGGCAGGGCTGTGTTCCCTCCCTGTTGTTTGACCTGAGGCCAAACTATGGTGGAGGTAAAGAAGATAATGGGACCTCCTTCAAAAGGTCCCAGGCACGCACTGCCACACTCAGTGCCCCCAGCCCTGCAGCAGGCCACCACTGACCGATGCCTCCGCCAGAGACTCCTGGACACTCACAGGCAAATCTGGGTCAGTCTCTTGTGGGGTCACTGCTGCTTTCTCTTAGGTCCTGGTGCACACAAGCTTTTGTTTGTGCCCTCCAAGAGTCTGTTTCCTCAATCCTGTGTAAGTTCTGGAGGCTCTATGGTGGGGTTAATGGTGACCTCCTCCAGGAGGGCTTATGCCACACCCAGGTCTGCTGCACCCAGAGCCCCTGACCCTGCAGCAGTCAACTGCTGACCTGTACCTCTGCAGGAGACACTCACACACAGTTCTGGCTCAGCCTCTGTGGGGTCTCTGGGTCCTGGTGCACACCAGATTTATTTGAGCCCTCTAAGCATCTCTGGCAGGTATGGGGTTTGATTGTAAATGCTATTTCACCCTCTACCATCTTTCTGGGACTTCTCCTTTGCCCTTGGATGTGAGGTATCTTTCCTTAGTGGGATCCAACATTTTCCTGTTGATGGTTGTTCAGCAGCAAGTTGAAATTTTGGAGTTCTTGCAAGAGAAGATGAGCACAAGTCCTTCTACTCTGTAACAAATGACTTCTACTCTACAACAAACTGTGGAAAATTCATAAAGAGTTGGGAATACCAGACCACCTGACTTGCCTCCTGAAAAATCTGTATGCAGGTCAAGAAGCAACAGTTAGAACTGGACATGGAACAACAGACTGGTTCCAAATCAGGCAAGGAGTACAAGGCTGTATATTGTCACCCTGCTTATTAACTTATACACAGTACATCATGAGAAATGCTGGGCTGGATGAAGCACAAGCTGGAATCAAGACTGCCAGGAGAAATATAAAAAACCTCGGATATGCAGATGACACCACCCATATGGCAGAAAGTGAAGAACTGAAGAGCCTCTTGATGAAAGTAAAAGAAGAGAGTGAAAAAGTTGGCTTAAAACTCAACAGTCAGAAAACTAAGATCATGGCATTGGTCCCATCACTTCATGGCAAATAAATGGGGAAATAATGGAAACAGTGACAGACTTTATTTTGGGGGGCTCCAAAATCACTGCAGATGGAGACGGCAGCCATGAAATTAAAAGACGCTTGTTCCTTGAAAGAAAAGCTATGACCAAGCTACACAATGTATTCAAAAACAGAGACATTATTTTGCCAACCAAGGTCAAATCTATAGCTTTTCCAGTAGTTATGTATGGATGTGAGAGTTGGGCTATAAAGAAAGCTGAGCGCCAAAGAACTGATGTTTTTGAACTGTGGTGTTGGAGAAGACACTTGATAATCCCTTGGACTGCAAGGAGATCCAACCAGTCTGTCCTAAAAGAAATCAGTCCTGAATGTTCATTGGAAGAACAGATTCTGAAGCTGAAGCTCCAATACTTTGGCCATCTGATGCGAAGAACTGACTCATTGGAAAAGACCCTGATGCTGGGAAAGACTGAAGACAGGAGAAGGGGACGACAGAGGATGAGACGGTTGGATGGCATCATTGACTTTTGACATAATTTAAGTAAGCTCCAGGAGTTGATGATGGACAGGGAAGCCTGGCGTGCTGCAGTCCACAGGATCGCAAAGAGTCAGACACGACTGAGCGACTGAACTGAACTGATAACCTCCTCTTAAACTGTAAAATTTGGGACAGTGCTAGTCCTTGTTTCATAATTAATTTATTATTAAATTCAGTTTTACTTTCAAGTTATTATCTCTTAAATAATTCTATTTGATAAATTCTTAGAGTCTTTTTAAAAATTTGAATTACTATGACCTTCGCATTTCTTTTCTTCCTTTCTTCTTTGAAAGTTGATTTTATTGTGGCCACCTGCATATTTAGAACTTGGGCTTTCTCTTGAGGGACAGAGGTTAAAGTATAAATCAGAAAGTGATTCACAACTACCTGACCTCTGAAAACATCTTCTTGAACTATTTGAGCCAGTGCTAGCCCCAAATTCTCCTTCCTGTCTTCACAAAGCTACAAGCCCCATGGATGAACAAATAATTCAAAAGAAGAATGAAAGTTTATATAATTTTTACCATCCAATCTTATTATACAATCTTACTTACCCAATTAAAATCATACAACTTATTACAGCAATGTTGTATCATCTTTTATGTGCTAAATGTATTTCTTCTCTCCAAAATATAAATAGCTGAGATAATATTTATTACTAGCAATTACAAGATGAACTGAACAATCTTATAGCTTATTGGTGGCATTATAAATTGGTGTATCTTTACTTTACAGCAGTTTAATAATTTCTATCAAAGAATTTTCCCCCAAAAATCATATTTTTGAAAGACTGCTTTAAGAAATCACTGAAAACTATTTAAAAGGCCATTGACATCTGGGCTTCCCTGGTGTCTCAGATGGTAAAAAATCTGCCTGCATGCAGGAGACCCAGTTTTCATCCTTGGATTGGGACAATTCCCCCAGAGAAGGGAATGACTACCCACTCAAGTATCTTACCTGGAGAATTCCATGGACAGGGGAGCCTGGTGGGCTTCAGTCCATAGGTCTTTTTAAAAGCCCATTGATATCTATCCAGATGTTATCCATGTCTGTATTTATAATAAAAACATTTTTTTATAAACCTTTAAAGGTTAAAAATAAAGAACAAACATTTCATGACATAAGCATTGACTGGCTTTCAACTTTGAATATGCAAGTATGAAAACTGAGGTGATGGAAAAATGATATGAGATCATACATCTTTAAAAATATTTAAGATACAAGATACTAAAATGAACATATACCAGGAATACACAATGCATGTAGACTGGTAGTATATTCAAATCTATATCTAAACTTTCAGGATTTTTTAGTGTAGGCAAACTTTCAATATTAGTATAACTTTTTAAGTTTTAAACTAATGACTTAATTAATTTAGAGGTAAATAAGTCCTTGTCTTAACACACTCTGTATTTTATTATTTTTTAAAAATCTCTGATATCCTATACTGACAACTTCCTAAAGGTTTATAGGATCTTTTTTATACCAGGGATATGTGTGAAAAGTCTTAAACTATAACTGTCATCTTAAAACTATTTACCATTATGAACTCACCTTTTGTAAGTTTTAAAGCTTCATATAGACATGCCTGGAAACTACTTTCTCACTCCTGATTTTCTATGCATGTTAGATTCCAGAACTAAGAAAAGTACTAAACATACATAATTTTTAAATGCTATTATTTATATAACATTTATATACCAGTGTTATGCTAGAGGCAATTTTTTAATCAAGAAAACCTCATAAATCATCTTAGGAGAGCAAAAACAGAAAAAATATGCTCAATTCTCTTATTTTTAGCAATATATATTTAATACAAATTGGAATATAGGTTGTTCATGTTCTTCATTTAATCAATATCATATATAGTTGTTGGTACAGAGATCAAATGATCATACTCTCTTCAATCTTGAATTTTTCTCCCAAATAGTGATTTTTAAGAACAACTTAACCATGGGGCTCATTATTGCTATTTTAGTTAGCATTTATCTGTCATTTCTTGAGGGCTTCACAGACTATAGATTAGATAACCTAGAAAAGCGTTTTATAATATTTTACAATACTAAAATAAAAACAAGAAAAACATGTTTTATCTTTTTTATAAAAGATATTTTAAAATCACAAAAACGAGACTCTATCATGCTTTTGTTCTTCTAACTTCTTAATTCCAATTCTTTCTCTGAATCTCACCAGGTTGCCCAGGAGCAAAACCAGGAACAACCAACAGTAAGTTTGCTTCCAGTAGAGATATGAATCCAAAGAATAAAATTCTGCAAAGTTTAATGATATTAAAATGCCTTCTAGCTAAAGACCAAGTAAATATTTAAACTACATAAAATAATTGAATAATCTTTGTAAAATTTCAGCAACCAATCATATGAATCAACATCAATGTTTACCTGAAAATCTTGGTATCACTTTACAGGCCAAGTCATGTTGATTTTCATAGTATTTAGCAACATGAGAAAATGTTCTCAGAATTTAATACTGGGAAAACAATGAAAACAAAAGCAAAGCTTAATATTTCTTCTGTCTACTTTTGAAGAAATGGGGAATGGTCCCTCTCTAACACATCTTTGGATGCTTCTCATACACTTGTATTTACTTCCCCCAGTTTGTTTGAATGAATACCTTTAAATATGTCTTCTTTCATGAGAAAGCCTTGCTTTGAGGTATAATTTCATTAATTTGTTTCTATTCATAAGGAAATATCTAATGATTTTCTATTTTATAACTGTACATAATTAATATTAATTAACTAATTAATAGAGCTAATCAATTATTATAATTAGTTAATTATAATATGATTATATATAATATTAATATATCAGTATATAATATACATAATTCAGTTCAGTTCAGTCACTCAGTTGTGTCCGACTCTGCGACCCCATGAATCGCAGCATGCTTGCACCTAATTAATATATTTTATGACTGCACCTAATTAATAGAACTGTGGCAAATAAAAATGGAAAATTTCCTAACTGATCTTATGGATAAAACTAAGCAGAAAAAAAAACCCAACATATAAACTCAGGAATCCAAATCACATTATTTTTACTAGTTTGTTAGAATTTGTTTAGAAAAAATGCACCCTTAGCCTAATCCCTAGATAAATAAAATAAAAAAGTTACAAACATGTGGTGAGAATATATATATGTATACACACACATATATATGGAAAGAGATATACTTTTTTGTGTGTGTAGTATGCTTGTGTACTGTATGTCAAAGCTCTCTATGAAACTGGTCTAGCTGTGGTACTTATAAAATGCAACATTTACTGAGCACTTTTTATATATGCCAAGCTCTGGGCAATGTGGTTTACATTATGAGCTATCTCATCTAATTTTTTTAAAACTAATGTTATTTTTAATATTTGCTAAAAATCAAGAAGTGGAAGGAAGATGTACAAATCCATATCTTATAAAATAATTTGGTTTCTGGGTTCACTATTCCCAGTGTTGTACTTTCTTAACATCAAATACTGTAACTATTTCAAAAAATTCTGATTTAAGATATCTCTTCACTCTAGCCTACAATAATACCATTCTGCATAATTTATTCTTTTTGCAGGGCTGTGAGAAAGATGAAAGATTCTTCAATGACAAAATAGTCAAATATATCCCAATTCAGTATGTGCTGAGTAGGTATCCTAGTTATGGACTCAGTTACTACCAACACAGACCAGTTGCACTAATTAATAATCAATTTCTGCCATACCCATATTATGCAAAGCCAGGTGCAGTTAGGTCACCTGCCCAAATTCTCCAATGGCAAGTCTTGCCAAATACTGTGCCTGCCAAGTCCTGCCAAGCCCAACCAACTACCCTGGCACGTCACCCACACCCACGTTTATCATTTATGGCCATTCCGCCAAAGAAAAATCAGGATAAAACAGACATCCCTACCATCAACACCATTGCTACTGTTGAGTCTACAATTACACCTACCACCGAAGCAATAGTGGACACTGTAGCTACTCCAGAAGCTTCCTCAGAAGTTATTGAGAGTGCACCTGAGACCAAGACAGACCAAGTTACTTCAACCGTGGTCTAAAAACTCTAAGGAGACATCAAAGAAGACAACGCAGGTAAATGAGCAAAAGACAAAAATGAGTAATAGCCAAGATTCACGGACTTATCAATATAATCGTAACATCTAAACTAGCAGATGGATAAATTAAATCTGTTACAGAGAAGGCAAAATGGGCTAATTATAACTTACATTTGCTGGTTCTTCAGCATTGATACACTAGATTCTTTACCAAAAAGAAAATTTTAAAATATCTTATTTTACAAAATGAGTAAAAACTGTGGATTTTATTATTAAACCTTTTTCAACAATTAGCATAATCCTCGAATCTATTAGTTTTATTTTACTCCTGTTCACACACAAAGACAATAAAATAAAGTGTCAAACTCGATTTTTCCTATCTCAAAAATTTGTTTTCTTAGAAAAAAAATCATATAGGATTTGAGTTTAAATACATTTTAATGGTATCAGTGTTGTTGCACTCTACTTTTGGTACTAATAGAGTGAAAAGAAACAATATGTTTCACACATAGCATTTTATCTCAGGCATCACTTCTGAAAGGATGTATGAGGTTAGGCACCGAAATTTCTCCTACTGTAAGGTAATCCCATGGAAAAATTTTAATTTTTAACTTATAAAGCACCTACTTATTAAAAGGAAACTTTCAGAACTTTAAATATAATGTAAAATATGTCTATTTATTATTTGAATCAATGGATAATGGCAGAATCCAAAATAATTTAAAACATATGAAGAAGTTAAACAGAAAGATCAATAAGATAGAAAATAACTAAAGATTGTGAAATAATTTAGGGAGAACATGACAAAATTTTGAGGGTCTAGGCAACAAATACTTTCATCACACTGTCTACATGATTTTTGGTTTAAAATGAAGTCAGCATGATATAATGGTAATAGCATTAGATCAGAGAAGGCTGCTTCTTCTGTTGTGTGACTTTAAGCAAGTCATTACTCTCTCTGAAGAGTCATCACTCTTTTTCTCATAATTTTGGTTGCTATGAAATTCAAATGAGAAAGCATATTGTGAATGAGTTGTGAAAAGTGATCAATCTGTGAAATATAATGCTCTAGAAAAGATGAAGCAAAGTTAGTAAATATTAAAATTTACTTTCAACTAAAATATAAAGTCCTTACTAAATTATCAAAACTAAATAACACTCTCAGTTTAATCCTGTAGCAGCCATATGGAATGGATTATATTACCATCTTGAATCCACAAATGAAAAAAAAAAAAGCTATGGATCAAATTGCTACAGCTGAAAGTTCAAAACTGGAAACCAAATCAAACCTGCTTGATTTCAGATAGTAAGGCTTAATTAGTACATCTGCTATTTCCATATGGGCTAATTTGTTATAACAAAAAATAAAAACAGAAAATATACTCTAATTTTCCAAGATCAGCATATGTGTAAATTTTACTACTGAGTTTGTTTAATAGGACATCTGGTAGGAAAGAGAAGATAATAAGCTGATAAATCTTTGACTCATTCAAATTTCAAAAAGAAAATGAAAAAATTAATGGACACAAAATGAAAACAATTAATTGAGTATGCAACTATTTTATTGATATGAAATACATTATTATATGATTGTTTTTAATAAAATAATCATTATCTCAATAGTTAACATTTGTTCAAAACTCAAGAACCTAGATTCCTAAGTTAAAACCACATGGTGTAAGATCGCTTATAAAAAAAGAATACATAGGACTGTGTCTTTCTGTGGATATTAGGTGAAAATTATATCAGTTCATTATGTGGTGAATTTAAATGTTTAAATTTATATATTTAGTTAGATAAACTCCTTGCATACAGACATGAAGCAAATCATGGAAGCTAAATAAAATACATATCATGAGAACTGTTAGCACATTGTGAAATAAATCTCTAAATTGTCATTTTTATAGGTCTAGCTGAAACCAAATGACTACTTCAAACTTTCCTTTGGCCAGTTGTCTGCCTTCAGTGAAGAAAGAATATGATTTTCAAAGATTCAGCTCCTTTCTCATCTCCTCTTACATTTTACATTTATGCCGCATTTAGTTTTTTGATTCCTGCATAATAAAGCCAATCGAATGCAATGGATCTCTTAACTTGAAAAGAGTCTGTGAATACACCTCAGGGGTATTTGAAACTTTGAAATTCCAAGGTTAATTTAGTGTGAATTTGGAAATACACATTTAATTGAAGGCAAAGCTCATAATTTCATCTGATTCTCAAAGTGGCCCACTCATTAAGACCATCTTCTGCAGGATAATATGGGAAAATCTAAATTTATGGCTAAGTCATTGGGGTCAGAGGAGAACTAAGCTATAGTATTCAACTCTAGAAGACCACGAAGTGATTCTTGAGCAGCCAAGAGAGAGAGAACGAGAACTCTAGAGTTAGCATTAAGTGCCCAAAAGTAATGCCAATTTTAGTCTAGATCATTCCCAAGGGCAAATTCCCAGGCTCAAAGTCCTTGACATTCCCACCAAATAAAATAACTCTCTACTTTCAGATTCTGATTTTTTTTAATTAACACTAATAGGGGCTTCCCTGTGACGTAGTAAATCCTTCAACTACAATTTCCATTTTAAGAAAATACATTGGTGAGTTGGTTATTTTGGATTTGGATAAATTACTTTCAGAGGTAAAGTCCATTTCTGCAAAGGTAGTTTATATGAGAATCATGTCTTTAGCACGGAAAATAAATGAGATCTGGAGGGTCACACATAGTCATTCATTTATCAGTTATTTGCCAAATGCCCACTATGTGAATGCAGCATGTTTCCTCCCTACCTCTAGGACCTCATGGTCTAGTGAGAAATAGAAAAGCATCTTATTATTCAGTCTTGCAGAACAGCCTTATCTGAAAGTTCTCAGGTCTTCCAAAACACATTTATAAGTTATATAATAATAATTTATTTACCACTTTTTAAAATGTATAAAAAGTTTTCACACACATAAAACTCTTAATCTTCACTGCTAACTTCTTGAAACAGCTTCTTATTGATCCTCATTTTGTATGAAAGTGTTGTAAAGTGAAGTGTTAGTCGCTCAGTCCTGTCGAACTCTTTGTGACCCTATGGACTCTAGCCCTCCAAACTCCTCTGTCCATGGGTTTCTCTAGGCAAAAATACTGGAGTGGGTTGTCACAGCCTTCTCCAGGGGACCTTATCAATCCAGTGATTGAACCTGAGTCTCCTGCATCTCCTGCATTGCAGGTGGCTTCTTTATCATCTGAGCCACACTTTAGTTAAATGTACAGTGAAAATTTATAGGCTTTAGATTTGGATAGAACTGAATTAAAGTTTTGCTCAAAATTGCTTGCTTAACTGTGTGACTCTGGGTAATAAATAATGTGGAAAGTGACATTTTTTGATTTACTGATACATATGTCAGGCTCTCTATAAAAGATTTTACAGGTTTTACTGTATTTCACACAGAACTCTCTTAAAGAGGCTCTATAAGGAAGAAACTGAGGCCCAGAGAGATTAGGTATTAATAATTTGCCCAAGAACAAAAATCCACTAAATGGTACAGTTTTGTTTTGAACTCTAGCAATTCAATCTATCAGACTTTGTTATCTGACTACTAGGACACACAACCTGGAGTCTGAGACATTCATGATAATACCCTCCATTAACTGGGCATTCAATAAATTTTAATCCCTTATCCATAAAGAACATTCACAAGGTAAAGTTAAATTTCATGATCTTACTATTACTACCTTCCTACTTCCTCTAGCCCTATTAGATCCTCATACCATTCAGTCCAATGACTCAGAAACAAACCTTGATGGCTTTAGCTGCGTTATCATCAACACCAGCACTTGCTTGAAGCTGCTGAAATCCTTTGGGTAATTCATAACACATTATCAAAATTGGTCTCCTTGGTTTAGATATCACATCTTTAAGAAAAACTTTCCCCAACTTCTAATACCAAGCACTTCACACGTGCTACCACAGCACCGTTTCCATACCAGTTCCCCTGTTACACCTGCCTGTCCAGGTCTTCTGCTGGGAGGTAAGCCCTATGAGCACAGTAACTATGTTCTCTCACCACCGTCTCTCTAAAGTAAGACCCAGTACACTGTTTGAAGTGAAAGTGTCAGTCGCTCGGTCATGTCTGACTCTTGCAACCCCATGGACTATAATCCACCAGACCTCCTGTCCATGGAATTCTCCAGACAAAAATACTGGAGCAGGTATCCATTACCTTCTCCAGTAATCTTCTCAACCTAGGGATAGGACCCAAGTCTCCTGCATTGCAGGCGGATTCTATACTATCTGAGCCACCAGGGAAACCCCAATACATTGTATGTGCTGTGCTGAGCTTAGTCATTTCACTCTTTGTGACCCCATGGACTGTAACCCTCCAGGCTCCTCTGTCCATGGGATTCTCCAGGCAAGAATACTGCAGTGGGTTGCCATGCCCTCCTCCAGGAGATCTTCCTGACCCAGGGATCAAACCTGTGGCTCCTGCATTACAGGCAGATTCTTTACCACTGAGCCACACTGTATAATAGAAGCTAAATAAAGTCACTGAGTACATTAAAGCCTTTAACTGTGTGGATCACAACAAACTCTGGAAAATTCTAAAAGAGATGGGAATATCAGACCTCCTTACCCAACTCCTGAGAAACACATACTCAGGGCTAGAAGCAATAGTTAAGAGTCGGACATGGAACAATGAACTGGTTCAAAATTGGGAAAGGAGTACGTCAAGGCTGTCTATTATTGCCCCACTTATTTAACTTATATGCAGAGTACATCATGAAAAATGCTGGGCTAGAAGGCTCACAAACTGGAATTAAGATTGCCTAGAGAAATATTAGCAACCTCAGATATGCACACTAACAGCAAAAAATGAAGAGCAATTAAAGAACTCTTGAAGAAAGTGAAAGAGGAGAGTGGAAAAACTGGCTTAAAACTCAAAATTCAAAAAACTAAGATCATGGCATCTGGGGCCCATCACCTCATGGAAAATAGATGGAGAAAAAGTAGAAGCAGTGACAGATTTTATTTTTGGGCTCCAAAATCACTGCAGACAGTGACTGCAGCCATGAAATTAAAACACGCTTGCTCCTTGTACACCTATGACTGATTCATGTTGATTTTTGGCAGAAAACAACACAATTGTATAGTAATTATCCTTCTTTTAAAAAATAAATAAATTTCTTTAAAAACTACAACAAACCTAGAAAGCATATTAAAAAGCAGAGACATTACTTAGCTGACAAAGGCCCATAGAGTCAAATTTTTTCCAGTA